CGGTTAATAGCTGGCTTCTCACTCTCTCTCTCTCTCTCTCTCTCTCTCTCTCTCTGTGCTGTCATGCAGAGAAAGAGTCTCAACAAAGATTTTGGGTGTCCCCTCCCCACAAGCTGCAAGCAGACTTTTGGGGGGGAGAGGAGGGGAACAGTCCATCTCTCCCCACCCCTCCCAAAGGTAGCTCTGAGGTTCTAGAGGTCAAGATGGTCCATCTTTCACTTTTCTTACATCTTTTCCTTCCTGTCCTGCTGGATGTTGGACCTCATTGTGGCTGCTCTGATCTTAGAACCTGGGCTTCTAAGCGAGGGTGGTGTGTTGCCTCTAATCCAGCTGCTACGGCTTTTCAGCCAACCAGTACCTTTTCTCCTTTCCGTACGCTTCCCGCCCCGTACATATTTCCCTTTGAATGATCATCAGGAACAACTTGCAGTTCTTGTTTCCTCATTAAGTTGCTGGGACTATTCTAGCTTATGGCATGTCACCATGTTCTATATGATTTCTTGGTCTTTATGCCTATGCCCTAAGTGCTTCTTCATTCTCCAAGAGCTCTCAACCCAAGAGATTATTAAGAGTATGCAATAAATTCGCATTTCACATACTTCCATCACATTGATACTAGTGGGTGTGAAAAAAATCAGCAATATCTCATGCCATACACTGGAATGGGGTCTCTTCAGCCCCACAGATATCAGTATGCTGTGTGCTCTCTCTCGCTGTGCTGCTTTCAGCATTGATTCCCTCCCCGAAGTGGCGCCTTATTCTACCTCTACCTGCGGCCGTTCAGGCCCCCCTTGGATGAAGGGCAAATGAGCTGTCCCTTCTTCTCTGGAGGTTATGGGACAGAAGTGAATGGATCTGGCATTCATTCCTCACCCAGGCAGCATGTGGCACCCTGGTCTCGGTCCCCTCGGAGCCCCCTTGGTTGGGCTGAGTCCCCCAGGGCCCCTTACGGCCACTCCTCCACACTCAGCCCCCCCCCATGCAAAAGCCGTATCGCTCCGGCCAATGGCTTCTGATCCTGGGATGCTCAGAGCCTGCCCCGACCTCTTTCTTCCCTTTTAGCGTTTCTCCTGTTCTTCTCCTGATCCTTGGATAGCCCCTGCACTTGGCCTTCTCCTAGAACCTGACCCCCCAGAATATATTAGCAAATATACTCCGTGTTTTTCTTAATACCCTTGGATGCTGGAATTTCAATTTTCTTCCCATCCCCTGCAGTCTTTTCCTTTCCCCTACAGCGCAGCCGAGTTAACTGTAGGGTTAAAATTGAGTAAGCATTGCCTTTGTTAGTTAGTTAGTTACAATCCACCTCCAGCCCTGGGGTTACACATCTTTGCATTGGGAGCAGAAGGAATTGGCAAGGGTCCATGTCTCGGTTAATAGCTGGCTTCTCTCTCTCTCTCTCTCTCTCTCTCTCTGTGCTGTCATGCAGAGAAAGAGTCTCAACAAAGATTTTGGGTGTCCCCTCCCCACAAGCTGCAAGCAGACTTTTGGGGTGGAGAGGAGGGGAACAGTCCATCTCTCCCCACCCCTCCCAAAGGTAGCTCTGAGGTTCTAGAGGTCAAGATGGTCCATCTTTCACTTTTCTTACATCTTTTCCTTCCTGTCCTGCTGGATGTTGGACCTCATTGTGGCTGCTCTGATCTTAGAACCTGGGCTTCTAAGCGAGGGTGGTGTGTTGCCTCTAATCCAGCTGCTACGGCTTTTCAGCCAACCAGTACCTTTTCTCCTTTCCGTATGCTTCCCGCCCCGTACATATTTCCCTTTGAATGATCATCAGGAACAACTTGCAGTTCTTGTTTCCTCATTAAGTTGCTGGGACTATTCTAGCTTATGGCATGTCACCATGTTCTATATGATTTCTTGGTCTTTATGCCTATGCCCTAAGTGCTTCTTCATTCTCCAAGAGCTCTCAACCCAAGAGATTATTAAGAGTATGCAATAAATTCGCATTTCACATACTTCCATCACTTTGATACTAGTGGGTGTGAAAAAAATCAGCAATATCTCATGCCATACACTGGAATGGGGTCTCTTCAGCCCCACAGATATCAGTATGCTGTGTGCTCTCTCTCGCTGTGCTGCTTTCAGCATTGATTCCCTCCCCGAAGTGGCGCCTTATTCTACCTCTACCTGCGGCCGTTCAGGCCCCCCTTGGATGAAGGGCAAATGAGCTGTCCCTTCTTCTCTGGAGGTTATGGGACAGAAGTGAATGGATCTGGCATTCATTCCTCACCCAGGCAGCATGTGGCACCCTGGTCTCGGTCCCCTCGGAGCCCCCTTGGTTGGGCTGAGTCCCCCAGGGCCCCTTACGGCCACTCCTCCACACTCAGCCCCCCCCCATGCAAAAGCCGTATCGCTCCGGCCAATGGCTTCTGATCCTGGGATGCTCAGAGCCTGCCCCGACCTCTTTCTTCCCTTTTAGCGTTTCTCCTGTTCTTCTCCTGATCCTTGGATAGCCCCTGCACTTGGCCTTCTCCTAGAACCTGACAAATAGCAACACCTTTTGCATCAAAGCATCCTAATGCCATTCTTATGAAAGATAAAGAAGGAAAAAATGGGAGGGGGATTTGAAGCAGAAAAGTGGGTGGGGGGGCGACGCATGTGTGTCTCTGCGCCCTATTGCTTCTTCCCCCTGTGGGTTCAGAAATGAGGGTGCAGAATCTTGAAAGGGAGAGACAGTATTTTGAGGAGAAACTTGTGAAGATCTTGCCGGGAGAGAGATGCTGAAGGGGTTTCTCTCCCCTTTTTCAGTGTGTTCATCATTAGAAGTGGAACTAGCTTAAGAGTTTAATGTTTTTGTTTTTCCTTTATCCTGCCCAGGTTTTTCCTCTTTGGAAGCTGAAAAACCAGCATGCTTTTGTTTGAAGGCTGGTCACTGTGGGCTAAGTGTGGGCTTCTTGGGTTCCAGAAACATGCCAGTTTTGAAGGGTTGTGTCTCTGGAGGGAAGACACTTTATCACTTTCTAATTGCAAAGCTAACTTCTGTTCTACTTTGTCCCTTTGTTGCCTCCATTTCCCCAAAGTGGTTGCGTTTTTACAAGGAATAAAGAGTGTGTTGAGGGTCAGGTTTAGTCTGTGGACGCCTAGCTGGCTGGCTGGCTGCAGAGGAGTGTGTGTGAGAGAGAAGGGGGCAGAGGGGGGCTTCTCTAGGAGGTGAGGAGGTGAACGCTGGCCATGGGTGGGCATAATGCCCTCAGCCTGCCATGATGTTCCATTTCATTCTTCCTGAGGTGCACATCCTGGCCATGGGGTGGGGGGATAGGGGGAAAGAGGCAGCAAGACTTTTCTCCGGAGGCCAGATTTGCTGAGGTTTCCGGAAGGCTTTTGTCTGCCTCTGTTGTCTTGGCAAAAGGGAGAGGATGGGCCAGAGGGAGGGGAGTGCCAGAGCCCTGCTGCTGCCCGAGCCAGGGTCGTGTCCCTGTTGCTCCCTTCGAGTCGATGAAAAGCTCCCTCCCAAAAGAGAATGGCTGCCAGCCAGGGTCAGCTGTGCTGACCTTGACTGCCCTGACCCAGCATAAGGAGGCTTCCTCTTCCTATGAGCTGATGGGACCCTGTGGCTCATCTTCATGAGACCACCAGATGATGGCCATGAGCCCCCACGCTGAATGCTGGGGTGGCGGGTGATGCGTCTTCAGCCGGGGTCGGAGTTCATTGGGGCTGGGGCACAAGGCACATCCGAGCCACCTTCCCTTCTCCATCCGGGGGGGGGGGGCGGCCAGGCGGACTGAGTTGTCATAATTCACCCTCTCCCCATGGGAAGGTCCCTCCAATATGACCCCGTGGCCACCAGATTGGTTCAATCTCCCCTTGAGTCTTGGGGGCTTCCAACGGTCCTCAGCCAACCAAGCCAACCCCTCCGTTGGGATGGTTCGGGAAGCCTGCAGCTGGGAAACAGCCGGGAGCGCTGGGCGTCCCCACCCCCACCCCCGGAGGCTGCCACCCCTTTAGGCCTTTGCCCCTCTAGTGCAAATGACAGCTTGGATGATGTGGTAGATCAGAGGTGACAAACTCAACTTCACCTTGGGCCGCATAGGCATTATGGTTGCCCTCAAGGGGCTGGTTGTATTTGTAAGACCAGGGGTCTCCAAACTTTCCACTGTGAGGGCCGCATCATATATTGTCCACATTTTTGAAGGCCAAAGAAACATGCATGCATGCACTCCCACATGCACATGCATTGGCTGGATAAAAAGGTAAGGCGGGCCAGATGTGGCCCACGGGCCGTAGTTTGGAGACCCCTGTGTAAGACTATATACAGTAAATGTAAGAACAGGAATGGGCCATAGGGAGGACTACATTTCCCAAGGTGCTGTACGCAGCCCAAGAAGCTTGGATGATGTCGTAGGTCTTGGATTTCAGCAAAAGGCTTTGGAGAGCATCCACCCACTAAGACGTTCTGGTAGCCGGGCAAGTGCAAGGCGGTCTGTGCCATGCTCCTCTTGGGGGGGGGTTGTAGCTGGATTTGTAGGCCGCAACCAAAAAGCCCTCGCCAATCATCCCCCATGCTTTGAGATCTTGTGTTTATGTGTGTTGCTCCTTAAAAAAGAAGAAGAAATCTGCCAGGAGTAAGATTCAGAGGAGATAACCTGGGTGGGGGCAGGGCCACCCTGCCTCCCCACCCCTGGAAAGGGGAGAAAAAAAACAAACAAAAATTAATAGAACAAATAGAACAGACAAAAATGAATACAAACGATAACAATCTTTGAGGTGCCACCATGTTTTTGTTTTCTTTGGGCCAAGGGCGCTTGCCTGGAATAACGCCGCTCGTCCTTGGCCTGCAACCCTGGACTGGGAGAAACCATAGGCAATCTGGGGGGGGGATGCACGCTAGATTGTAAGGGGAGAAGGAAAAGGAAAGGTAGCAGATCACCCCCCAGAGGAGGGATGGGAGAAGCCAGGGAGGGAGGAAGGAAGGAAGGGCCCATAAAAGGAAGAAAAGGCGGGAAAAGGGGACCGGTGGGGGGGGGAGGCTTGGAAGGAGAGAAGGGTTTGAAGGGATTCTGAGGGAGAGGGAAGGGAAGGTGAGGGAGTCAAAATGGCGGAGGAAGGAGGGGAGGGCGCTGTTGAGGGAGACACCCCCCTGGGCACTGGAACCAGCCGCTTTCTAACTCCCTGAGGCAGAAGCAGAGTGAATAAAATCTGCCCTTCAACCCCCCCCCTGCCCCCACCCTCAAGGAAACCGTCCTCTTGAGAAGGAGAGGCCGGAGGGGAAGGCGCCATTGCCCCTCACACCCGGCGCCCAGACAAGGAGTTCGCTGGAAGTGGGGGAGGGCGGGTGGAGGGGGGTCTAGGCTCCAGGCGTTCTGCCCCTTGTCCAGAGCCCAAGAGAAGGGAGCACCAACCGGACCCCATGGAGAGAGGCTCCCCACCTGGGCTCACCCAGGTGGGCTTGGACGACCCTCCCAGAATGTTCCCCCCCCCAGGCCAGCACAGTTGGTGGGGAAAGGCATCTGGGAGGGGGGGTCGTCCAAGTCCACCTGGGTGACCCAAGGTTGGTGGGGAGCCATGGATTTAGGAGGAGAAAAGAGTGAGGAGGGAGACACTCTGGGGCCTGGGGGGGGTGTCTGTGTGCGTTCCCCCACCCCCTTTGTAGGGCAAGAAGTGGCCATGAGGGAGGAGGCACTGGTTGAGGGGAAAAGAAGCACACCACCAAAAAGGGGTTCAAAGGACACCCCCCCTTCCGAGAGTCCCTAGGAAGAACAGTTTGTGGCGTCCTTTTAATGGTTGGAAATGTGGACCTTAAAAGGAGTTGAGAGTGTCAACTGAAAGTAGGAGTTCTTTGGCAACCAAGTGTCTCGGACCACTAAAAATGGCCTGGTGAGAATGGAGCTAATGGGAGGATATCTAAATGCCTGTTTAGGGGGAAGCCTTAAAAAGGTCCCCAGGTCAAGATGTTGTTGGAGAATTGTACTGAAACTCGTGTGAATTCCAGTAAAACGCACAGCAGGACGCGCCAGCCGGTTGGGCAGAATTAGCTAGAAGTTCCCCTTTTTGTCCCCGCCCCTCACCAAACGCTAGCGCTTAAAAGTAAGACTCAAGAGGCCTTTTTGTATAAAAGAAAGAATTCTATATTCTACTCACATGGATAAGGATTCAGAAGGTTTCAGGTAGATACAGAAAGAGAAAAATAGCAAAAGGCGATGTTCTTCTGCTTGGCCCCACGTGGCTGGAGGGATCTCCGGGCTCAGTGGGCCAGCATGGCGTTCTTACATCTTTCCAGGTGAAGAGCGTGTGCAAGAATGGGGACCAACAATGGAGGTCTAAACACCTCATGGGGAGAAGGGCCGGAAACAGGGGCGGGGAGCAACAAACTCCCACTAATTGGTCAGCATGCAGACAAACAAGCAAACAAGTGCTTGACCATCCAAAAGATGTGCCCTGTTGGGAATTGTTAGCCCACAACTTTGGTGGACTTTGGGTCTTGTTGACCTTCACATCACCTCCCCCACACCCCCGATAAAAAAGGGGGGGGGAATCGCCTGCAGACAGGGTTTGATATAAAATATGGTTTACATTTTTAAAAATTGGATGTTTTGATGATTTAAATTTAAAAAAAAAGGATTTTTAAAAATTTAAATCAATTTTATTTTAAAGAAATCATTGATTTTGATCCACCCTGCCTGCAGATGAAAGTGAGAAGTGGGAGGAATAACTTATGGGGATGGAAAGGCCCAGCATCCCCACCAATCAAGGCGGCCACTGGCCACGCCAGCTGATTTATTCTGGGAGTTCTCATCCCAAAAGTGAGAATGGCCATTTTGGACCATCTGTGCTCTGTTCAAAGGCCCAGAACAGCCAGTTTCTGGGGTTCTCCCGGGCTTTTTCTTCGTGACCCTGTGAAAGGGAGGTGTGGTGCAGGTACAATAGATTCTTGCATTCTCCTGCCCCACATCGTTATCCCTGGATGCTACAACGAGTCTCTGGGGCAGAAGATAGACGAAGATACCTTTCACTGACTCAGAGCTTTCGCCCACTGAGCCCAGTTTTGCCTTCTCTGACGGGCAGCAGTGGTTCCCCAGGTTTTTCAGGCAGTTTTTCCCCCTTTCCCCCCCTCCCCACTAGCCCTAGTTGAGGATCTCTGGAATTGGTTTCCTGTCCAAGTACCAGCCAAGTTTGACCCTGCTTAGTTTCAGAAATCAGACAAGAGAAGCTGCTCAGGTTTGTATGGTGGTAGTTAAAAGTAGTTCCCATTTCAGCACTGGCTGAAAGGATGGGCTGATTGTTCAGAGAGCAGCAAAAAACCCAACTGATGCCTCTAATCTTTGAAAAGTCTATGAAATAGGCATTGCAGTTTTGCACAATTTGCACAAAAAGCGTTCTGCATAGTGAGAAAACTCTTGGCTAGACTACTGGCAAAATAGACTGCCCCCTTGTGGCCAAGCAGGACACATGTGGGTCCTTGCCTCTTTGCAGGAAGATGATACAGTATTTACTTCCCTGAGTGGAAGTGGCTGGGCTTTTGTTTCACTTCTCCAGATGTGTTCTGCTCTCCAGAGTCACCTCTGTTCGATTCCTGCAACACCATGAGATCACACCACCTTTTTCTGCAGAGATGTGGCATGGAACTCTTTGTTGTTTGTAGCATGTCACACTGATACGTATGTGGGGTGTGTTTTACCCAGAAAGGTGGCCTAAAACCTAGGTTCTTATCCTTTGTTACTCGGGTGTTTTTGAACTGCAACTCCCAGAAACCCCAGCCAGTTGGTGGTGAAGGCTTCTGGAAGTTGCAGTCCAAAACTCCTGAGTAACCCAAGGTTAAGAACCAGTGGCCTAAAACAAATGATAAATAATTGTGTATACATATTTGTAAAAAAGAGTTTTTCTGTATAATGGTAGGAGCCTTGCATAGTGGGCTTCATGTTTCTGAAATTTTGACCTGGGCCAGAAGAAACCTCTTTGGGGATCAAGGATATAAGTGAGCAGTCCGGTCCACATGTCAGAATGCATCTGCTTTGTCCCCTGCCCCATTGCTCACCCGCCTCTCTCCTGTGTATCTCTCAACAGAAGTGTCTGCGGCTGAACCCGGATGTCCCTGTCTGGGTCTCCAAGCAGCGGATTCTCTGCACCTTGAACCACAGCCTGAAAGATGTCCTCAATTATGGCCTCTTCCAGCCAGCCTTCAACGGCCGGGCAGGGAAGTTCCTGGATGAAGAGCGGCTGCTGAGGGAGTACCCCTTGAACCCAGACACCCCAGTACCTTACCTGGAGGTACCCCCCTGATGGCTCTCTCATTTTCTATAACTGCTTCTGTCTGTCTGTCTATCTGTCTGTTTGTCTGACTGTGGGCATAAGGAACATGTGGTTATGCTCCCAAATGCAGACCATGACTCCCGTGGCAGACTTCCATGGGAGAACTGCCTCTCTGGTGGCCACAGAAAGGCCTGGGTCTTGAGTTTTAGAAGGCCATGTTGTGGGCAGAACCACAGCGTCTGAGTTGGAGGTAGGTTTCTTCAGGATTAGGGCCTCAGAAAAGAAGAAGGCGAGCTTCTATTCCAAAGTGGAAGATGCAGAGGTCTGCCAGTCTGAGCTATGAATATCAGGAGGATCCCACAAGGTGTCAGAATCTCCTTGGTTGACTCTCCAAAGTGTGCTGCATTGCCATAGGGAACCTGGCTAAGCTAGAAGCCACATGGCAACATTTATTCATTTCCACATGTGGTTTCCTTTCATGGAAACTGGAACTGGCATGTTTCTAAGCTTAGTCTGTGGTAAATCTCCAAATACAGTGGGGTCTCGACTTACAAACAACCCAAACGGGAAAAAAAGTCCCCCCTCCCTCCCCTTAGAGGCTTCTGGAGGGGGGGAAAGGGTCAGAAACTTACAAATAAATACTGTACTGTTAAATAAAGTCACTTACCAGGCCTTGGTAGCCCCCAAACCACAGGAAAAAGAGCAGGAAAGAGCTAAAAGCCGACACCCAGAAAGAGCCTGGCAGCCATTTTGTGGTTTTCCCCACTCCTCTCCCCGCCTAACAGCTGATTGGCTGGCTCTGAGCAGGCTTCCCTAGGCTTGCTCAGCACCTAAAAAGCCTGCCCGAGTGCCTTTGTGCTGAAAAAATCAGCACAACATGCTTTAAAACATTATTTAAAATTGGCTTCGTTTTTTTAAAAAAAGAGTTCTAAAGTGCTGCCTTTAGTGTTCCCTGCCTTCCCTGAACCTAAGGGCAAAAAAGAAAGAAAATATCCCCCTCTAGTGGCAGAAGGCAGAATAGCAGCTTCCCATTAGTTTCTATGGACAGAAAAGAGCAGATACTGATTAAATGGTTTTCAATGCATTCCTATGGGAAATGCAGATTCGACTTAAGAACTTTTTGACTTGAGAACCACCTTCCAATACGGATTAAGTTCTTAAGTCGAGACCCCACTGTAGGTGGTTGAGTGACAAAACCTGGCTCCTTCTGCCAAGAAAAGGACTGGCATTTCCCTCATGCTGAGGCAGGACTTCTTGGAAGAAGTGTCTTTCTGCTGGCACCCTTCTGAACAGGTGTTTGGTTGTAATAAATGGAAATAAGTCAGTTGTCTCTTCTGTGGGGCTCTCAAAAATCTCTTAAAAGCCCTTTAAGAAAAAATAGCATGATGTTAAATTCTGGCATTTGCTTTCTAACAGAGAATCTTAGACTCATCCTTAAGGTTCTTACCTGTCTCAAGATCTTGGAAATAACACCTCAGACTTAACACATGAACATTAAGGGTGTTATATTTGCATTAAACAAAAGGGATGCATCCGATCTTAGAAAAAATAAGAATTTAAGGGCAATGGTAAAATATTTAAATAGTACCTCTGAAAAAATTACTCGTTAGGTATATTGTTGGCTTGTTCACCCATTTAACACAAAAGTAATAAGTTTCATGTTAACACGTTAAAATCAAACACATCCTTTCCCAGCTCTGACCTATCTGTTGGAGTCCATTGCCCACCTACTAGCTTGCAGTGCATTTCCAAAAACTAAATGTTGCTTTAGGTACCTAAGAGAATTCTGTTAAAAAGACTTCCTTCCTAACATTAGTGGACATTAGGGATGAGATACATGTTTGAGCTGGAAGACTGGTGATCTCACATCCCTAACAACTGAGGAGTCCCCTAAGAAATCCTTGCTGAATGCCAAGCAGCCCAGGTGCCCTGGGCCTTTTAAATTTTGTCAATTAGTTCTAAAATATCGTCCTTTCTCTCGTCTGCTTGTCATCGTTTCCCCAGTGCAGTTACAAAGCAGTGATTCACAGCTGAGCTAAATTTAGGAAGGTGCATGCAGAAGAAGAGGATCTGGGGTTTTTTTGTGTGTGTGTATCCGAAGGGTGGGGGGTGAGAGTGAGGTTAGGAGAAACAGATGCCATCTCTTTAGGTCAAGCTTGATTTCAACCACATTCTGGGGTAGTTTCTGCTCTTAGTGCCTCCTATCAAGAGACGGGGGGAGGGGATCCCTGAAACAAGAAGATGTGGCAGGATGGTTACATAATTTGAGGTTCATCAGCCCTTTAAGTTCTTGTTGGACACTGTCATCAAGGTGGTCTCTTTCTTCTTGGCACACATGAAGACTAGCAGCTTGTTTTGGTGTGCAGGCTGAGTGTATGGGAAGCTAAATTCTGCAGTATTGCATAGGCTTCTTTGCTTTAAAAAGGAGATATCATATTGTTTATATCTTTATTTATTTGTTGATTTTTATGCCACCCATCTGGCCAAATTCAGATGAACTAATATTGTTACTCTGTGCATCTTTTTTTGTCTTAGCTGGTGGTGGCAGTAAGTTGAAACATGGACTCCTAGTTTGTCAGGTGCTCCCAGGACAAACTGGAGGTTTTTTTTCTCCTATCATCCACAGTAAACAAAAGTAATCATTTAGTAACCAAGCACAGAAAGGTTACAGTAGAAGGCTCTCTCCTTGATGGGTACAGGATCTGGACCCATTTCTCATGGCCAAGGTTTCTGACCTATAAATCTTCTAACCACCTGTGCCCTACACACCTAAGAGAGTGCCTCCCTCCTCTGTCTCCAACCACACAACCACCCTTTCTACTATGAGTACCCCCAGTACGGGTCACATTTGTTCTGCTAGTGTGCAAACAATATCAGAGAGGAAAAAAGATGGTGGCCAAATGGTGGCTGTCAGATTTCTCTGGGCCATTCATCACAACCTCAGGACTTCCTGGAAGAGCCCTTAGCTCCTTACCAGTGTTGTTGACAGAGGAGGCCTAAGACAACTTCTGTGTTTTAGCAGATAATCTACATTTATATCCATGTTGCTCCAAGTGCTGTCCAGTTACCTTCGACTTACTTACAGCGACCCCATGAATAAGTAGTCCCCAGAATACCCTGTTGTTAACAGCCTAGCTCAGCTTTTGCAAACCTGAGATTGAGTGAAACCAGTGCATATCTATTCTTCTTTTACCCATTGCCTTTCCCTAGCATTATTGTTTATCTCTCTCTCTCTCTCTCTCTCTCTCTCTCTCTGTGTGCTGTCTAAAGTTTTTACATGGAGTGTTTCTAGCCACTCAGCTTTATGTCACTGTGCTTTGGAACTTCTATTCTTTTCCTCCTCCAGGCTGAGTGAAGAGTCTGTGAGAAGTAAATTAGGCTGAAGGTGGATGGGTTGGCAGGAGGGGGAAGGCAGCACTTAGCATGGAAGAGGGCCTGTGAGTGATGCTCCTTTCTTGCTTTTGCCTCTAGTTCCGGTACAAGAGGCGAGTGTACACACAGAGCCTGCTGGATGACAAGCAGTTTGCCAAGTTGCACACAAAGGTAAGCAAAGCTGTTGCCCTCCTCTGTGTCCAGTTGGATGCTAGCCATGTCTGTCCAGATGGAAGTTGTGGAGAAGACCTTTGGTAACTCCGAATAGGGGTGATCTGATCCCTCAAGAGAGCCCCCTCGCATCTTTGTTCCCAGTGGGAATTCCGAAGCTGACAGGGAGGTAGCAAAGGCCCGTGTTCTTGTAGATAGTTCTGACCTTCCAGGTGGGCTGAAACTGAGAAAATGCCTTCTGGGATTGCCAAATTTCACAACATTGGCAGGCTGTTACATGTTACCCTCTCAGACGCTGTGAGGAGTGCAGTTAAGCTCCAAGGCAATAGGAGAGGCCGCCTTAGGGCCCTGAGGATAATTGTATAGTTAGTCCCTGCTACTCAAGAAAGTCCCTGGCTTCGACATTGCCAACTCTGGACCACTACAACACTTCTGGAGGCAATGGCAGATTTGGAACACAGTACCTTCTGCATGTCACAGTACCCGAGCCCATGTTTTGCTAATTGTTCACCATGTTGCCAGTAGGGGAGTGCTTGTGGCTGCTCCCTGGAAAACTCGGTTTCTGTGCCTGTGCATGGTTTGCTGCTCCCTGCATCAGAGTTACGTTGCACACCTTGATAAGGCGTGGGCCGTTTGCCTTGGCCAGGAGGTGGCTTGGGCTGCAGTCCACCCCCTTTCACTCTGTGAGTGGTGAAGTGGAAGGGGTTCAGAGGAATCCTTCTTTCTCCTTGTTTGAAGCAATGCAGATCAGCCTGGCCTGTTGTTCCAGGGATGCACCCAGCCAGACTTCTGGACCTTTTGGGCAAAGCTGGAGTGTTGAGGATCTTCCCTACTGGTTTTGCTGCTAATGTTTTTCTTTTGTACTGGCGAAAGAGTGTGTGTGAGAGAGCCAGTGAAGTTCTGAGCAGGGAAGAAAAGACAGCAGATGCAAAGCCGAGAGAGCAGGAGTGGAGAAACAGTCTCCCTGTTGGGCTTGTTTGTCCAGATGGATCCCTCCCTCCGCCAGGCCAGCAGGCAAGAAGGACCTCTTCGTGGCTTTTGCCATTCGTGACCTGTCTCTGTGGCAGAAACCGCCTGACGCTTGGATATTTATTTGTTTTCATTCCTTTATGACACATCTTGATCTCATTTTAGAAGCACATGAGATGAATCATTTTGGATTTAAGCAAAGTGGGTCCATCTAGTTATGCATTCTGCCTCTAGTAGGGACTGGATGATAAACTGCCTCTGATGGGAAACCTTGCAAGAATTCAGGTTGTCACCACCCACTGTTGCCCCCACCCTCTGTTTGGCTTTTCTACCATATAGAAAGCCAAAAATGTCAGGGTGGAGGGACAGGAGATAGCTGGGGGCCTCTGTGGTAGTCCAGAATTTGAGCCTGGGCCTCTGGCTCAGGCATGCCCCAAACTTGTAACAGTTAAATTGTAGAGACTGGCCATGACGTCTGAGGGATTCTCAAAATAACTTTTTCAAGTTCTGGATTGGGTGTTCTGTCCCTGTGAGCAAGGTTGGTGTGGGAGTACTGTCTGTTCCCAAGGTGGGGTGAGGGCAAAAGGACACTGGTAGCCGCACTCCCAGCATTCCTCCCCTTCCTTTGCTTTCCTGTCTGCCAGGCGCCAAGAAATATTGCTGTACCACCGACATGCGGCCTAGGTCCGGTTCAGGTTTCTGGACTCTGATGTGGAGCCAGCAAAGGAGAGCGCTAGCCCATATCCAGTCCTGGGCCCGATACCCCAGAGCCACTGTGACCAGATATCCCACATCTGGCCAGACAACACGGCCACCAGAATAGCACTGATACCTCCTGGGTATGACACTAGTGCTGTGCAAATATGACAGATTTGAAATAACTCCTCTCTGGAGGAATATTAGTGAAGCTGCTGGCCTCTCTCGTTTAGCCATTAGAGAGAGCATTCTTGCAACCACAGGTGTGAGTTAAAGTGACCTCCTGAGGCCCTTCCTGATCCATTTCTGTACAGTATTGTAGACAGGCTTAAATTTCCATTTCCAATTGTCAGGCACTGGCTTTGTTTTGTGATGCTGATGTGGCTTTCTTTTGTTTCTTGCTCAGAGTGGGTTAAGACATCCAATCCGTAAAAAATTCAAGGTCCTCTGTCAACAAATGTCAAATCAGCTTCCCGTTTCCCATTGGCAAATGCGAAGTTGATTTGATAAGCGACCACAAAACCTCTAGTGGTCTGAGGAAGGCAATGTAAAAGCAGTGCCTTTATGCAACAAAGCTCAAATACAGAACAAGAATGTCATTCCAGAATACTCAGAGCTGTGCTTAATGGGTGCTTCTTTTCCCTTTGTGTGTTTGTGGACACACATCTTAAATACTTCTGGTTTCTAGAGATTCTTCCAAACCTATTTGTAAGAGCATTCCTTTAATTTATACCATAATGTATTTTAGGCAGTTTTGTGTGGAGAGATGGAGCTTCATTGCATAAAGGCACTTCTTTTGCATTGACTAAAGTTGCAGAAATGACCAGAAGAATCAGTGTCATTAAAAGTCCCCCCTGAAATGTCATTTATTAGGCAACTGTCACAAGGCAATTCCAGGACTCCAAACTGTCTTGGGGTGTGCTTGTGCCGCGTGTATAGCACCCCCTGCCACTGTAAAGCAACAGATGAAATACTGTACAGGATTTTTCATGCTGATTTTCTGTCCCGTTTTGAAATGGTTCTTCACAATGCCATTGTGTGAGTAAAGTGAGCCCTGTGTAGACCAGGTATTTCCAAGAGCTTGTGATCCATTCTTTAAGGAAAGCCTTTATGAGATTAGACTTTCAGAAAAGCACACCTGCCGTGTCCCACAAAACCAGCACTGATGTTGGTGTGGCCAAAGCACGAATGAGCCCAGAGGGGCTTCTGTCTGACATTGGCTGCTGTACGAAACCTGTGTCTTCGCTGGGCGATGCAGCAGCAGTCTCCTAGGCACCACGGAGGCTCGAAAGTTCTGCTGCTTGACATTTGATTGGGCCATGTCTGTCACCCACAGGACAGGGCTGCTGCTGTCAAGAAAATTGTACTGAGACCTCATTCGAGAGAGCAAGGTTCTAAATAGAATTTTTCTCCACACTCTTGACATTCAAGAAGAGGGACAAGACCCATTTCTTTAACTTGACTTCTAAAATTATTTTTTTCTCTTTGCATTTTGTCGTTCTTCTCTTACTATGTATGCTATTTTGTGATCATCGGTTTTTTTATACAATACCTTGGTAACTTTCAGAAAGGTAGCACAGGGATGAGTGTGTTATGTGCATCCAAATTATGGAATTCATAATAGGAGTTTCAAGTTATGTGAGATATTTAAGGAATGGTTTACCAATGCTACCTCCTATTGAATTTCCATGGTCGAGAAGGGATTCGAACTCAAGTCTCTGGAGTCCTAGTCTTTCACTCTGTACACTGTACTGCATTGGCGTAGAGATATCATACATTAAATAAATGCCCAGACAAATAAAAATTTGATTGCCAGTGGTCTGTTGGGTCTTGCTGGGGGTCAGAGTGTGGGGCCTCTGCTGGTGACCTCAATGCTCAGACAGACTCATATAGGTGCAAATGGCTTTGTTAGGTAATGGTAATGTGGATCCAAACTATTTGAGCCTTGGGAGGCCAAAACCAGCACCGTCATGAAAAGAAATAGGAAGCTAGTGGATTGAAAGGGGGCAGACATCTCTCACAGCCTTCTAGCTACTATGTTCTGTATCAGTTGCTCTTTCTGGATAGTCTTCAAGGACAGCATCAGGTAGAACAGGTGGCAATAATCTAACCATAAGGTAAGCAGGGCATATATCCAGGTGTCTCGCTTAGCTGTACCTGGGTGGGGACGCAGCTGCTCAGCCAGGCTGTGTTTAGAGAAGCCCATTCTGACAGCCTGACCCTTCATCGACTGCAGTCCACAGAGGCAGTCCGGCGTTGTGTTCGGCTGCTAGCTGGGGTGTTCTCATAGGTCTTGATGAGAAGCAGGGCCTTCTCAGTGGTGGCTCTAGTACCTTGGAATGCCCTCCCTGGGGAAACCCATCTCTCTCCACATTCTGTACATTCTCTTGGTTGGTTCAAGGCTTCAGGCGGTCCCTTGGAAAGGGCCCTGTGTGTGTCGTCATTCGATGGTTGGCCCAAGTTGAGATCCCAGCTGAGGCACAAAGCTCATGGGGTGACAGGAAGAGTCCCATACTTTTCAGCCTAGCCTACCGGGCAGGTTTGGTTGTGATGGCAAAATGGCGAGAAAAATAGTTATACTGTACTCCTCAGAGTTCCTTGAAGTATAGGTGGAATATAAGTGTAAGAAAGAAATATTGTACACTCTTGTTTGTGTTAGGCGGGTGTCACAGGTCTGCACCTTTTGTTCTTGAGCTGGGCAGGTCAGGTGGCAGGACGGTTCGGGACATGGCTTTTTGCCCCTGACCCTGGGTGGGCGGGGAGTGGCCTCCTGTTTGAGCGCCTTACTTTCCTTGGTTTACGCAGCCTTTGGATAGCCACTTCGTGCTTCTGAAGGAAAGAAAAGCAGGGCAAGGTTTCTCAAGAGATAGGAGTCAATGGAAGGAGTAGTCGAGTTGTCAGGGTCGAGGGGGGGGGGAAGGCTCAAGTGTCGTCCTCGTCTGGCTGGGCTCCGGAGCACCAGAGCAGGTGCTTGGCTTCAGCCCTCCGTCACATAACAGGGAGGAGAGATGGGTCCAGTGGGCAAGCTCTCTTTTTCTGCTGGAGGGGGACAGGCAGAAGTGGGGTGGGTGGGTTTCAGGACAAGCAGCCGAGAGGAGAGGAGAGAAAAGCAGAGGCAGAATTTGTGGGGTGGGGAGTGAGAAAGAACTTCACGCCACCAGCTGCAGGGCGAGGCGGCTGGGCCGAGAGAAGCTGATCGGCAGAGCTGGCTTTGGAGGAGCAGGTCCTGTGTGTGTGTCCATGTCCGTCCATCGAGGCATGAGTGCTACACCCTGACCGGAGGCCAGAGTTGTTGAGATGAACTGGAGAGAGAGGGAGAGCAGCACCACAAAGAG